AAAAAAAAAAAAAAAAAAAAAAAAAATCTCCAATGTTCTAACAAGCAGGTGCTTCATCATCTACACAAATGGCAAAAGCCTTTCAAATGCTTCGCGATATTTCGGCCCAGAGAGTGGAAACAACCAATATGTTTTGGTTGCTTGTTTCAAATAAACGTGTGTATATATTATTGTGTGTATATATATATATAAAAAAAAAAAACAAGAAAGAAAGAAAAACAACAACAACAAAAAGAAAACCCAAAGCACCCTGATAATCCTTATACATCAGAATAAACTGTTCTACATTAACTAAACTTGCTTTGCATAACTGACGTGGAACACAAGCGCTCCCTTCTTATCTGTGAACTCATTCCTGCAGTGAGCTATTTATGTCTGGAGCGTGCCTTAGGGTTATTTTTCCCCTAGAATCATAAATAACTTTTGGTCCGTCTGCTTATTTGCTGTTGTGCTCAAGGGTTTTATGGTGGTGGAATAAAAATGACAACCACATGCACACTATCATACATATGCAAATATGTGTAAAGAAAAGGGGGGGGGGAACTACAGGGGAAGACGGGGAAAGTTACTGTTGGAAACACCCACTGGAAAATGAGTTGGCAGATACAGTTTCACACACGGAGGCAGTGGATACACCTTCCTGCACGTACTTCTGTTTGTCTCGGGACTCCCGGGACTTGGGCCGGTTCTGTCGGTTTGCTGTGGATGGGATGGAGTGAACGGAGGAGCTCTTCTTGCTGGAGGACTGGGACGAGTGGGAGGAATGGGAGAGGCTGGCCCGGGACTGGCCGGCGTTGTGGTCAAACTGCATTAAGCAGAAGATCAGGTCCGTCGGCACGAGCTCAAACTCGTACGGGGGGTTGGTGATGACATACCTGGACGCGGAGAGCAAAGAGGTCATAGAATGAGGATAACTCGGTGGAGATTTCACCTCTGAACCAAACCAGGTCTACCCGAGGATCTGGGAGGTGGACTTCCAGCTGGTCCAAGGCCTTAAACAGTATCTTCCAAGTGGAACAAACTCTTCCTCTGTTTAGCTCAACAGAGGAAGTCAGCCATGAGCCCTGGCGGAGATGCTGAATTAGCGCCAGTCATGGGAGAACCAAACGGTACTTCCTGTGGTCTACGTACCCCTTTCAATACAATAGCAAGTTCCCTTCTGATCCTGAGTGGCCCGAGGGCATACAGGAGGTTTCCAGGACTGCACTGCATCTCTCATTCTAGAATGTTCTCACAATCTCAGACATATGTCACAGGATCTTTGTTTACCATGATCTAGCAAAATCTTAGTCCTCTCTCCCTCTTTAGCTTTTAAAAATCAACCTTGGTGGAGGGTGTCACTTAATGGAAGAATATACAACACCTCCCTGCCTATGTGTCCCTCAGGCTTTAACTGTCCTCCTCAATTTGATCACGATTTTCCCTGGTTAACACCAGACATAACTAAAAATCACTTTGTTTCACTTCTAGCAGGGGATTTCAAAATTGAGGTCCTCAGGCCAGACGTACCAGCATCATCTGGGAACTTCCTAAAAACGCAAATTCTTTTTTTTAAATTGAAGTATAGCTGACTTACAATGTTGTGCTAGTTTCAGGTGTGCAGCAAAGCGATTCAGCTCTCTCTCTCTCTCTCTCTCTCTCTATATATATATATATATATATATTATATATAATATATATATAAAATTATTATATATATATATAATATATATATATATGTTCTTTTTCAGATTCTTTTCCATTACAGGTTATTACGAGGTACTGAATATAGTTCCCTGCGCTATACAGTAGGTCCTTGCTGTTAAAATGCAAATTCTTAAGCAACCCCACCCAAGACCTACTGAGTCAGACACTCTGAGCGTGGGGTCCAGCAATTTGTGTTTTAACAAGCTTTACAGATGATTCTGGTGCACAGCAATTATGCTCAACTCCAGCTCAACTGTAATCTCTGGGCATTAAAACTACATATTTTCATTTCATACCAGTTAAGTCAGAGTCGTCAGACTACTTTTACAAAGTACCTGCAGTGATGCTACTACGTAAGCAGGTCTGAGAGACACTCATCTCTATGGCATTGTTTCCTGGGGTATATTACATGAACACATTGATTTTGGCAATTCTAGGATGTACTTTTAATTTTAGGCTGCTGTGAATGTACTTTGATGCGTATTAGAAAAATATAGCTAGCATATATGAAATGTTATTTTTTTCTGCTTCAGGCAATAATATAGATAGTTTTCTTTAAAATACATATATAGGGCTTCCCTGAGTGGCGCAGTGGTTGAGAGTCCGCCTGCCGATGCAGGGGACACGGGTTCGTGCCCCGGTCCGGGAAGATCCCACATGCC